CAAAAGAGGTTTTTTTTGGCTTGACTGGGCCTCGTCGACTGCGGCTGCAGCACTCGTGCCAGTGTTAACCGTTCAGCACAACTACGGCCAAAGCGACCGATCCGGAGCAACAAAGAGCCGTTGCCCTGAGCTGCCCAAAACAACAAGTGGAGCGAAGACCAAGCTCCTGCAGCCGTTCTAATCTCGCCAGACAACGGACAGCCCGTGTTTTGTTCCGTCACAATCGTGCACACCAAAATCCAAAAGTCCAACGCGCACTGTGGTGAGCGGCTTCCAGACATGATGCGGTGGCCAGAGTCGCAGCAACTCAAAAACGGCCGGGGATTTATACACACCCCGAAGGACAAAACCAATCGATTCTCGGCGTGCGAAATAGGGCGACCCGGATTGCAGGTGGCCGGACAAGGATGTCGACCGTGGGGAACAACTGGTTGTGCGTCGAAACCGCAAGCCAGGGCATCGCCCCAAAAAACGGTGACAAGGTCAGCCATGTTGTGCACACCGGACCTGGAGAACTTAAGCAGTGGTTGCACAGCGCCCGGAGAAGAAGCACGGAGCACAAACGAGGCCATCAATTGGAACTCGAGCGCGTAATTGGAAAGCTTTAGCATCGGTTCCAGAAAGAAAGCAGCACGCAAGTCAAGCCAGCCTGGGGTTCAAGCCAAGTCGTGCATAAAGCTGGAACCTTCTCTCAACTTGGCTTGCAAAGACACACTGTTCCAAGTGTAGCTGCCAACCGTTGGTCTTTTACCAGCTGCTATCGAAAGGCCAAGCCAGCTGCACCCAAAAACTGCCGAAAGCAAAGCAACGAATTGGAACTTGAAATCCGTTTTTTGGTTTGCTTTTTGGCCGCAGAAGCGGACGCAGACTTGTCCCAGAATGGTTCGGTCAACATGGAAACCATGTTTCTGACACGCAAAGGACTGATGCAACCGTGTCTCCGATGCGCACAGTGGTCTCTCGGGGCGATGCTCTGGCGCGCGACCAATCCGGTGCAACAAAGAGCGTCGCCCTAAGATCGTGCACACCAAAATCCAAAAGTCCAAGGCTCTCTGTGGTAAGAGGCTTCCAAGACATGATGCGGGAGCCAGAGTCGTAGAAACTCAAAACCGGCGAAATTATACACACACCAAAAACAAAACCAAACGATCCTCGGCGAGCGAAACAGTGGCGACTTGGATGCAGCGTCTAGCGGGCACCAGTCGCCACCCAAAGTGCAGGTGGCCGCGCAAGGAACCAGACCGTGGGAACACCTTGTCGTGCGTCAAACCCAACACAACCAAGGCTCCCTCCGTGGTTGTGCTGAACGATTTCTCCAGTTCTGAGCCTGCAAAAAGTTTGCAAAAGTGTTCCATAACTGGCCCTAAAGAATGCCATCGTGAAGTCGAAGTGTTGCGATCCGACAACAAAAGAAAACAATGCTAATTTTCCCGCTCTCCAGCCGCAGTGTCTGGTTCGAATTTTCCTGTTCTGCCACTTCTGCTTGTGAGGTCGGTTCGGGAGGTCTCTCTGTCAGGCAAGCCTGCTGCATCATGCATGAACGCAGTCTCTCAATACAAACATGAGGTTTGGGATTCCGATGTTGTCCCAATTTTTTGGTGGTGTTTCAGTTGACTAACATTGTTTGGTGTTGCACAAGAAGATCACTGGAACCAGCCTTGGAAGGCGGAAAGAAATGACCTGCCAGATGTAGTTGCACATTTCAGGACTGTGGAAAGACCAAGTCCCAAAGTGCCGGCAGAGAAGCCTTGCCAAGCACTTATGAGCGGGCAATGTTCGCTTATGCAGACCCTCTCTCTTGTATAGCGGGGTCTACGGCCCACAATCGATCAGCCAGAAGGAAGCTGATTCAAAATCGAAAGGGTGTTGGGCCTACAGCCTCGGGTCAAAAACGAAAGATCGACAGGGCTCAGGGCCGTAGGACGCAACGATCTTCGGCCCTTTAGGCCCAAAATTTTAGGACGAGCCAATCGGAGCTCGACGATTGTGGACTTTCTCGCTACCCTCACTCCGCTGACTTCGCTTTCGCGCCGCTCTCTCCGCGCACTCCGCTTCGCTCCACTCACTCGTCCGCTCCGCTCCGCTCCGCTCCCTCGTTCGTTTCGCTCCGCTTCGTTTGCTCCGCTCGCTCTGCTTCAGCTCCGTCCGCTGCACTCCCCTCGCTCTCTCCGCGCACTCCGCTTCGCTCCACTCACTCGTCCGCTCCGCTCCGCTCCGCTCCGCTCCCTCGTTCGTTTCGCTCCGCTTCGTTTGCTCCGCTCGCTCAGTCCGTTCCGCTTCGCTCCGCTCGGTCCGCTCGGGTCCACAATCGTCGAGCTCCGATTGGCTCGTCCTAAAATTTTGGGCCTAAAGGGCCGAAGATCGTTGCGTCCTACGGCCCTGAGCCCTGTCGATCTTTCGTTTTTGACCCGAGGCTGTAGGCCCAACACCCTTTCGATTTTGAATCAGCTTCCTTCTGGCTGATCGATTGTGGGCCGTAGACCCCGCTATACAAGAGAGAGGCCGCAGCTTTGTGGCAGCTTCAGGGCTGTGCGGGTTATCGCCGTGGTTGGGGGGGGGTGATGCACCTGTGATGCACCTGTGATGCACCTGTGGAGGTGCATCATGGGTCGGGGGGGGGTGATGCACCTGTGATGCACCCGTGGCGGTGCATCACGGGTCGTCGCAACCTCGTCGTCGGCACGTCGTCCTCCAGGACACGACGAACTGAAATTGTTTTGATCCCAGGCAGGTCGGGGGGGTGATGCACCTGTGGCGGTGCATCACGGGGGGGGGGTGATGCACCCGTGGCGGTGCATCACGGGTCGTCGCAACCTCGTCGTCGGCACGTCGTCCTCCAGGACACGACGAACTGAAATTGTTTTGATCCCAGGCAGGTCGGGGGGTGATGCACCCGTGGCGGTGCATCACGGGTCGTCGCAACCTCGTCGTCGGCACGTCGTCCTCCAGGACACGACGAACTGAAATTGTTTTGATCCCAGGCAGGTCGGGGGGGTGATGCACCCGTGGCGGTGCATCACGGGTCGTCGCAACCTCGTCGTCGGCACGTCGTCCTCCAGGACACGACGAACTGAAATTGTTTTGATCCCAGGCAGGTCGGGGGGGTGATGCACCCGTGGCGGTGCATCACGGGTCGTCGCAACCTCGTCGTCGGCACGTCGTCCTCCAGGACACGACGAACTGAAATTGTTTTGATCCCAGGCAGGTCGGGGGGGTGATGCACCCGTGGCGGTGCATCACGGGTCGTCGCAACCTCGTCGTCGGCACGTCGTCCTCCAGGACACGACGAACTGAAATTGTTTTGATCCCAGGCAGGTCGGGGGGGTGATGCACCCGTGGCGGTGCATCACGGGTCGCCGCAACCTCGTCGTCGGCACGTCGTCCTCCAGGACACGACGAACTGAAATTGTTTCGACCCCAGGCAGGTCGGGGGGGTGATGCGCCCGTGGCGGTGCATCACGGGTCGTCGCAACCTCGTCGTCGGCACGTCGTCCTCCAGGACACGACGAACTGAAATTGTTTTGATCCCAGGCAGGTCGGGGAGGGCCGGGGGGGTGATGCACCTGTGGTGCACCTGTGGCGGTGCATCATGGGTCGGGGTTCGTGCAGGCGTGTTCGTGCGCCGTCGTCGCGTCTATCCTACTCTACCCTAGTGGGGCACGCTGAGCTGGGGCCTAGAGTTGATGATCCACCCTTGTGGGGAGAGGCTCCAGCTTGTGGCACGGCGGTCCCAGCGGAGACGAGGGGGTTGCCCGACTGTTTAGGGCCAACCACCGGCGGTTGTCAGGTTCGCCGGGACCCCTGAGGACTCTCCGCGCCGGTCCGTGAGGCACCGAAAAGCTCTCCAGGAAATGGGGGAGCTCTGGAGCCTCACCACCCCCGCCAGGCCTGTGTGCCTGTGTGGATGGGCGGGATACCCTCTCAGTCCCCCTCCGAGCGGGGCTGTCGGGGAACGGAATGCTGCCCGTTTTTTTGCAGCATCTGTCGCCCCCAGTCGGGGCGTCTGGGGAACGGAATGCTGGCCTTTTTTTTGCAGCCTCGTTCGTCCGCCGAAACCGCCGACTCCGCGCCCTAGAAAACTCACACCATGTCCAGTTGGGCACAGCAACGAGAAGCCATCCGCCGAGCGGCCCAGGGCGGCGTCAGAGCGAGGACGAACGCCCAGGGCTCGCAGCGGCTCCCCTCGCGCCTCCGCGACATCTTACTGTCCCACCCCAACGGCGAGCTCACCAGGGCGGGCCAATTCTACTACGGCCTCGTGGGAGGCCGCCAGGCAGTTCGACGAGGAGCAGCCCCTCATCCGCATCGGCCAAGGGCCCACGGAGCTGAAGAACCCTGCAGCCCGACGGCAACTACCACCTCACCAAGCTGGGCAAGGCCTTCTTCCGCGAGAAGTACACGGACTGGCTCGCCACGTCCCCGTCCGCATCACTGGGACCCGTCAAAGGGGCCGCAACGCCGGCCGGCCCTACCAGCGCGACGACTTGTCCCGGCAGTCCAGCGGGCTCAGCGACCAGCAGGCCCACGCACGCCTCAAGGAGGCCGCCCTGAGGCAGCTGGGGGCCCCAACGATGGGGACCCCATCCTGGAGCTCTCCCAGGAGGTCTACCGCTACGACGCCACCCGAGACTGGGCCTTCTCCAAGCAAATGTTGGAGGTGGTGGACAACAGGGCTCAGGTGCAGCCCTCCACTACTGGCACACCTCTTTCTTTGAGGCGCCATCGGCCTCCTCCTCGGCTTTTAACTTCACTCTTGACGGCCCAGGTCCGGGAGCTCTTCTTCACCCTCAGGTGTTCGTTCCTCCCTCGGCCTTTCCCTTGAGTCCCTGGTGGCGCCACCTCCCCCCCTCACAGGGCCGGCTTACTTCCCACAGGCTTTCGCCTCGGACCCCAGCCCTGACTCGACCTGGTGCCCTACCTCGGTCCAGCCCTCCGGCCCATCGAGCCGTCGAGGTGCTAGGCGTGACAGGCGGTCCAAGCACCGCCGCCACCGGCTCCAAATGCCGGGCCTTTTCACCCAGCTCCAGGTGGAGATGTGTGACCAGGCCCTGAGTCCTGCCTCGCCAGTTGAGCGCGACCTTGTTGAGTTTGCTTCCAAGGTAGAGGATGCTATCTCGCCGGGTTCCTCGGAGGAGTGGTTTTTAGAGCATGCCCTGGATGCCATCCATGATGACACACCCTCCCCCGCTAAGTGGCACCTCCTCAAGCAGATGGCTCATGTTCTCTCCTTGCAGCACAATACCCCTCACAGCCCTGCCTCCCTCAGGCTCCTGACTGCCAACGTCACTCACTGGAGGCCGGAGGTTCGTGATTGGGCTTTTTCCCTCGACGCCCAGGGGGTTTTGCTCCAGGAGCTCCACCTCACTGCTGAGGCTGCGCATGAGGCCACGATCGCCGCCTCTAAAAGAGGGCTTCGCCTCTTCACTTCGCCACCTTTCCTCAGCGAAAAGAAGCGGCCCCTGGGAGGTTTTGGCGTTCTCATCCACTCCTTCCTCAACCCTCGCCATGTCCTCACCCACACCGTTGAGGGCTGTGGTTTTCTCGCAGTTTCGCTTCGGTGCTCGGGTTTCGAACTCACCCTGATCTCAATTTACCTCCAGTCCGGGACTGGCTTCAACTCTCCGGTCAACGCCGATGTCCTGGCTCGCCTCCTAGCCTTTCTCCCTTCCCTCCGGGGAGTGTGGCTTGTTGCCGGCGACTGGAACAACCCCATACAAGATCTCCTCGCCACTAGGCTTGAGGAAGTTACCCATGGGAGGTTCCTGGGCACCGGCCCCACCGCTGCAACAGACCGGGAAATCGACTACTTGTTTGTCTCGTCTCCGGCTGTTGCTTCCCTGACCTTGGCTCAGGACTGGGTCGTCCCTTTCAAGCCTCACTGTGCCCTGCGGGCGACTCTTCAGCTCAGTTCTCTGCAACTTCCCTACCCGCAGCTCGCTACCTTTTGTGAAGTCTTCCCCGACCCTCTGCCTTTTCAGCCTTCGGTCCCGAGCCCCTCGCCTGTCGCTGAGGTTAACCTTCTTGGCCTCACTTCCACTGACCAGCTCACCCTCGATTTCGCTGAGCTGAGCTCCTTCCTCGAGGCTTCTCATGGGTTTCCCGATCGCGGGCGTGGGGCTTTCGTCCCCATCCTCCACAAGCCCCTCGTTCAAGGCCACTCGGTTGCTTTTGCTTGGAAGGGCCAGCTCCCTTCCTTGGTGTCGGCCGTGCTCCACTTGCTTGACCGGCCCGAGGTTTTGCAGCCTTTCCTGTGGTCCTCCTTGGACACTTCCCTCCCCTCTGAGGTTCGGGCCTTTTGTGACCGGGTGCGGGATGGCTCAGCTACTTCTGCCAACCTCCGTGTCGAGGGCACTGCTCTCCTTGGCCAACTTCGGCGTGAACAAACTGCCCGGCAGGCTGATCAGTATGGTGAGTGGCTGGAGGAAGCTTCCGGCTCACACCTTGGGCCGCTTTTTCGCGCCATCAAGTCTCATGAGCAGGTGCTTGACCGGCCCTACCAAGACTGCGATGGGCTCCGTCGCGCCTTTGAGAGGCATGAACACTGGGCCCGTGTGTGGCACGCTTCGGTCTTTCCTCAGCCCTTTTCGCACCCTCTCCTCGCGGAGCTCCGCTCGAGGGCCGTCTCTCACGCTGGCACTCTCGCTCCACTGACTGTCCCCAACCTTCAAAAGCTTCTCAAGAAAGCGGGAAAGAAGAAAGGCGGCCCAGACGGCTGGAGTTACCCAGCTTTCCGCGCCTTGGACCCAGCCGCTCTTCAGCTCGTCGCCGACTTCCTCGCCCGCGCGGAGGCTGAGGTGCTTCTACCCTTCCAGCTCACCTGTGTCCAGGTAGCTCTTCTTCCGAAGTCTGCCGACAAAGAGCGCCCTATCAGTCTCCTCCCCTGCCTGTGGAGGCTGTGGGCTCGCGCCAGGTGGAAGGATGTCGCGGCTTGGACGTCGGCATACTCCCCCGACCACCCGTGGGATCGGGCGGTTCCGGGCCAGGCCAGCCTCGACACAGCGTTGGCCCGCCTCGTGAGGTCGGAGCACTCCAAGCTCGAGAAGACTCACATAGTCAGTCTCTTCCTCGACCTTCGCGGGTTCTTTGATTCCGTGAGCTATGAGCGCCTTCTCCTCCAAGGCCTAGCTCACCGGTTTCCTCCGCTTCACCTCTGGTTCGCCCTTCAAGTCTACCAGGGGCCGCGATGCCTTGTCGCCGACTCGATAGCGGCCACCCCGCTTTTTCCTGGCCGAGGTGTCCCACAGGGGTGCCCTCTCGCACCCTCGCTTTCCAAACTCACCATATCTGAGCCGCTCAAACGTGAGTTTAGATGTGGTGGGTCCCGACCCTGTTGAAGTCGCTTCTGCAGCTCTCCAGGCATACCGAGTTCTCCATGCCTCCCTCGGCCTCGAAGGCCTCGAGGTTGAGACAACAAAGACCAAGTTCGTCGCCGGTACGGTCCGTGCCCGCGCCGCGCTTCAGCAGCTGCGGCGCCCGGGCGAGCCCGAAACCGCCGACCTTGTCAAGGACCTGGGGCTGGACTGTGCTGCAGGCCGGCGACGGCGCATCACCACAGCCCAAAAGCGCTTCCGCACTGGCCTTGGGCGCGTCCGCCACATGCGCCGTCTTCGCATTCGCCGCAGGTGGGTCCGGGGCCGGCTGCTTCAAGCCTCCGCCCTTAAGGCCGGCCTTTATGGCCATCAGGCCGTTGGGGTTGCCCCTAAGCGCCTCAAGGTCCTGCGCTCGGCGGTTGCGCGAGAAGCTGGTCGCTTTGAGCATGGCTCTGCCGATGTCATTCTTGACCTCATGTCCCACAAGGCCATCGACCCTCACCAGCTTGTTGTTGTGGAACAGATCCAGGCTTTGGGGCGCCTCGCCTCCAGCGCCTCTTCCGAAGGCGTGCGGCTGCTCACCCGCACCTGGGCCTCTTCCTGGTCCAGACAGGCCTCCGCCATACATGGGTGGAAAATCGTCAATGGCCCCGTGTCTGCGCTCATCCAGTACCTGCTCGACTTGCGTGTGTCCGCTCCTACCCCCGAACTTTGGACGCACCGCGAGTCTACCTTTCACTTCCGCTTCCGTGAGCCAGGTGCGGTTTTCGAGGCCTCTGCCTTCCTTATAGGCAGGTCATCCAGCTTGAGCGCTGGACTCGTATCGGCGCGGTCTCCACCGCCGCAGGCGCCGCCACAGGCATTGATTGGACCGTGCCGCGCCGCCTTTTGGCCAGTCCTCGGACGAAGTCCTGGCGGCACGGCCTTAGGGCCGTCTTTCAAGGCGCCCTCCTTCACTCGGGCAACGGAGGGAAGGACCGATGCAAATTCTGTGGTGAGCCCAACACCCTGCACCACCTTCTTTACGAGTGTGAGAAGGTTCCGGGCGCCCTCATGCCCGCAGGCTGGCTGTTGTCTTACAAGCGGCGCCACCCTGCCGAGTGCCTCTGGTTGCGTGGGATGCGGCCCCTAAACACCCGCGAACCCCTCGCCCACGAGGCAGGTCCGCCGCACTGGTCTCTTCCTTGAAGGCACACCGGACTTGACGGGGCTTTTCGTCGCCACTGACGCTTCGGGAGGCCCTGCCACCAAAGACAGTCGCCTCCGCTCGGTCGGCTGGGCCGTTATAGTCGCTAGCAGACACAATGGCGACTTCACTGTCCTTGGTACCCTGTCGGGGCTTTTGCCGGCTCCTGCCTCCGTCCCGGAAGGCGAAAGCGCCCAGGCCCTTCTCTCCTCTCGGGGCACTTTCGACCTCACTTGCGACTGCCAGCCCGCTCTCCGGAGCCTTCAAGGCCCCTTTACCAAGCGTACCCCGCTTGAGCCGACGGCTTGGGAGGCATGGCAGCTTTATGCCGCTGCCATTTTGCGCCTTCGCTTGGCCACGTATAGGCCGTGGTAAGGCGGACGTGCCTTGCCATCATGGCGTGGGCCTCCATCAGTTGTTGATTGGAGGCAGCAACCCCACATGTAAAGCAGCGGAGAAAGTTCTCACTGAAAACTTGAACGTGTGGGGGCTCCTCACGATCCCCAGCTGAAGCTGGACCTCAGCCGAAGGCGAGGGAAGGCCCTTGGGACCGGCTTGAGGACTGGCTTCGGCGGGCAGAAGGCCAAGCATCAGCCGGTTCTGAGGAAGTAACTCCTGCAGTGGCTGGGGCCTCCGCCGGCGCAGGAGGGCCGCAGTTGCGGGGTGAAAGCTCGTCGGCGGACGTGTTGGTGCCGGGAGCGGGGAGGACCCACGTGTGGCCGGGGAAGCTGGGTGGTCGGCCGGCCTGGTCGCCGCGGTCGCTGGGGCAGGCTGGGAGGAAGAGGTCCATCGGACACCTCCATTGCAACCTGCCACCGGGGGCGAGGGGCCAGCGGACTGTCGTCCGGTTCGTCACGCGTCTCGACCAGGGAAAGGGCTGGTCGTCGTCGTCCGGCGAGGAGCGGGCAGAGGGGTCGGAGGCGGATTCGCTTGGACCCTCTCGCGGTCCTGCTCCTGGCGCGCTTTGGCCTTAGCGCGTGCTGCCTTATCCGGACGCAACTTGCGTCTGGACAAGGAGCTTGTGCTGTGCCAGATCCCTGTCTGGTCCCAGCGCTCCTGCTGCTTGCGAGCATGGCGACCCTTGGGCGCCTTGGTGCCCTCCTTGAGCCGAAGCTAGCGGAAGAACTTGGTAAGCTAGGGGCAGGGAGCTTGGCTTAGGCTTGGGCCGGGGCTTTGCTTTAGGCTTGCTTCTGAGAGCAGGGCCTGGAGCCTTTAGAGCCGAGGCCTCAAGTGACGAACCAAGCAGGAGCCTGGACCTGAGAAACCTCCGAAGGGGACCTAGAGCCTTCGAGGGGAGAGGAGGTCTTTGGTTCTGGAAGCTCAACCGAACTGAGGGCAGTAGCAGGCGCAGAACCCTGAAGAGAACCCCAAGAGCAGGGGACGGGGGAACCACAGGGGCAGCAGCAGAGGCAGGAGGGGAAGCCTGAGGCCCCGGGGAAGGGGAACCTTTGGAGAAAAACCCCCGCACCGAAGGAAGCGGACAGGCGCTACGAGCTTTTTTGGCGCGGCGCCCATCCGGAGGGTCACGTGGCCGTGGCACTGGCTGCACTTCCAGGACGGCCCCTGTCGCACAAGAGTGTGCGAGGGGTGGGCAGCGAAAGGGCACGAAACGGCAGCCTTTCGGCACGGAAAGGTGATAAGGCGTTCAAAGGTTTCCTGTGTCAACTTGGTAGATGCACAAGGAGCACTCAGAACACTTAACACACAGGTTGAAACTCTTCTGCTTAGAGGTGCGGGACCAGACGTGCCCACCCGGAAGAGGGGGCTCGTCGAGAAGAGTCTGCAACCTCTGCCTCTTGTTGGGCGAGGGAGAAGCGGAAGACTCCAGTGCGGAGAGGAGGCGGTTCTTCCGCGGGACGAAGTCCTCTTTTTTTGGCGAGAATGGCAGCAGCACGGCGGCCCAAATACTCGCAGACGAGGGAGGTCACCCGGTCAACCTCCTTTGGTCGGCTTGAGGTTCGACCCCCCTGCAGCGGCCTGGGAGTGCCCTGGGCAACCCTTGGTTCTTTCCTCGCCTCTGAGGTTTGCTTCTGAGGCAGCTGCCCGGGCTCCGGTAGAACCCGCCTGTACAGTCTTTGGTGGGCCTACCCCTCGTCTGAAAACGACTGAGGTTGGCGCACCTGTAGTCCAGGACGTAGGGCCGCCCTTGCCCAAAGAGGCTGAGGTTCTTCTCGCTTGCATGAGGGTTCGTCTTTCTGCTCGTCTCTGACGGCTCCCGGCAAAGAAAAGTGCTCTGGCTCAAGATTTCGGCTCAGACGTTGCAGTGCCGTCGTGGCCAGCCTTGGGGCCTACTTTTCTGGAGGTTCGAAAGAGGCCCCAAACCCAACCACTGGAGGTCGTAGGCCAGAAAGCTGGCAAGGGTTTGGTGGGCGGCCCGGTAGGCTGTACTGCACGTGCTGTGCCAGACGCTCCGCCCTCCCTCGCCCGTCTGGGGCTTGCACAGTTGCTCCCAAACTTTCCCTCACCGATGGGTCGAGGTATGCCGCAACGCGCCTACCACGTTTGCAAGCGCTGCCAGAAGGCGTGGGTTTGGGTCGACGAGCTGTGGAAGCACCCGAACTGCCCGGCCTGCCAGGCACGGTTCCCGAAGCCCCCTGGCCAAGGTAGTGGTTCTCCCACACCGCCCCAGTCCTCGACAAGGACCCCACGCAGGCGCCCCTCCCGTTCCCGCAGACAGGTCACCTTTGACGACGAGGCTGAGGTTGGGGACTCTCCGCCGGATGAGCCATCCACCCCTCGCCCAACGAAGGCCCAGGATGATCGCTCCAAGCGGAACACCCGCACAGGCTTTATCGAGGCTCGAAGGGCCTCGAGGTTGGCCTTTTGGTCGTCAGTGAGGGCTTCGGGAGAGAGCCCCAAGGCTTCAAGAACTAAGTCGACCTCACTCTTAGGGACGTGCAGGAGGACTCCTCGCTCGTAGGTGTCAGAGCACTTCCTGGCCACATCGGTTGCTTCGGAGATGGCCTCCTGAAGCTCCTGCATGCCACGGAGAAGGTCATGGAGCTTAGTCTTGGTCTTGTTGATCTCCTCCTGGAGCCGAAGCTTCTCCTGTCCCAACTGCTTGAGCTTCAAGATGGAACGGCGGAGAGCATTACCCGACTCACGACCTTCCTTAAGAGGATCCGGGGTGGGCTCAGGGGGAGGTGGAGGCAAAGCCTGGCGGATGCACTCCGGGAGCTGCTCAACGTTGTCCTGGAGTAAGGCCAGAAGGTCGGGCTCCATGTCAACATCGGAGGCCTGTGGGGCCTCGAAGCCAGCGTCACTGAGTTGGGTCCTGGCCTCATCCGGAAGATCTGCCCACGCCCTTCAAGTTCGGCTCTCCTCCTCCCCCGGCCGGTGATGCAAAGGCCAATGGCGATCTTGCTGAGGAGGCTCATGATGGCTCTTCGGAGAACCCAGCAGCGCGCCAGGTTGGCCTTACCCCGCCGAAGACCCGTAGCCGTTCACCCTCCCGCGTGCCTCCGGCCTCTGACGCTGCCAAGACGAATGGCTCGTAGGAAGGTGGTAGGGGTCCGGGGGCGGATTTTTGGGGACCTGTTGGTCCAGGTTCGTCCTCGGCTTTTAACTACACTCTTGACGGCCAAGGTCAGGGAGCCCTTCTTCACCCTCAGGTGTTCGTTCCTCCCTTGGCCGGTTCTATCTGCTCCTCCCCCGAGTGGGTCGAGGTTCCACGCTCTTCTCGCCGGCAGCCCCGGACTCTTACGCTTGAGTCCTTGGTGGCGCCTCCCCCTCTCCTTACCGGGCCGGTCTATTTTCCACCGGCTTTCGCGGCCGTCGAGGTGTCAGGCGCGACAGGCGGTCCAAACATCGTCGCCACCGGCTCCAAACGCCGGGCCTCTTCACCCAGCTCCAGGTCGAGATGTGCGACCAGGCCCTGAACCCTGCCTCGCAAGTTGAGCGTGACCTTGTTGAGTTCGCTTCGAAGGTCGAGGATGCTATCTCGCCGGGTTCCTCGGAGGAGTGGTTTCTAGAGCATGCCCTTGATGCCATCCATGATGACACACCCTCCCCCGCTAAGTGGCACCTCCTCAAGCAGATGACACATGTTCTTTCCCTGCAGCATAATACCCCTCACAGCCCTGCCTCCCTCAGGCTCCTGTCTGCCAATGTTACTCACTGGAGGCCGGAGGTTCGCGACTGGGCCTTTTCCCTCGAAGCCCATGGGGTTTTGCTCCAGGAGCTCCACCTCACCACAGAGGCTGCTCATGAAGCTGCGATTGCCGCCTCTAAAAGAGGGCTTCGCCTCTTCACTTCGCCGCCCTTCCTCAGTGAAAAGAGGCGACCCCTGGGAGGTTTCGGCGTTCTCATCCGCTCCTTCCTCAACCCCCGCCATGTCCTCACCCACACCGTTGAGGGCTGTGGTTTTCTCGCAGTTTCGCTTCGGTGCTCGGGTTTTGAGCTCACTCTGATTTCAATCTACCTCCAGTCCGGGACTGGCTTCAACTCTCCGGTCAACGCCGATGTCCTGGCTCGTCTCTTAGCTTTTCTCCCTTCCCTCCGGGGAGTGTGGATCGTTGCGGGCGACTGGAACAACCCCATACAAGATCTCCTCGCCACGCGGCTTGAGGAAGTTACCCATGGGAGGTTCCTGGGCTCTGTTGCAGCCACCCCGGGAAATTGATTACTTGTTTGTCTCGTCTCCGGCTGTTGCTTCCCTGACCTTGGCTCAGGATTGGGTCGTCCCCTTCAAGCCTCACTGTGCCCTGCGGGCAACTCTTCAGCTCAGTTCTCTGCAACTTCCCTACCCGCAGCTCGCTACCTTTTGTGAGGTCTTCCCCGACCCTCTTCCCTTTCAGCCTGCGGTCCCGAGCCCCTCGCCTGTCGCTGAGGTTAACCTCCTTGGCCTCACTTCCACAGACAAGCTCTCCCTCGACTTCGCCGAGCTGAGCTCTTTCCTTGAGGTTTCTCATGGGTTTCCCGATCGCGGGCGTGGGGCCTTCGTCCCCATCCTTCACAAGCCTCTCGTCCAGGGCCACTCTGTCGCTTTTGCCTGGAAGGGCCAGCTCCCTTCCTTGGTGTCGGCCGTGCTCCATTTGCTCGACCGGCCCGAGGTCTTGCAGCCCTTCCTGTGGTCCTCCTCGGACACTTCCCTCCCTTCGGAGGTTCGGGCCTTTTGTGACCAGGTGCGAGATGGCTCACTTTCTTCTGCCAACCTCCGTGTCGAGGGCACTGCTCTCCTTGGCCAACTTCGGCGTGAACAAACTGCCCAGCAGGCTGACCAGTATGGTGAGTGGCTGGAGGAAGCTTCGGGCTCACACCTTGGGCCGCTTTTTCGAGCCATCAAGTCTCACGAGCAGGTGCTTGACCGGCCCTTTCAAGACTGCGATGGGCTCCGCCGTGTCTTTGAGAGGCATGAGCACTGGGCCCGTGTGTGGCACGCCTCGGTCTTTCCTCAGCCCTTTTCGCATCCTCTCCTCGCGGAGCTCCGCTCGAGGGCCGTCTCTATGCTGGCACTCTGGCTCCACTGACTGTCCCCAATCTTCAAAAGCTTCTCAAGAAAGCGGGGAAGAAGAAAGGTGGCCCAGACGGCTGGAGTTACCCAGCTCTTCGAGCTCTGGACCCGGCCGCTCTTCAGCTCGTAGCCGACTTCCTCGCCCGCGCTGAGGCTGAGGTACTTCTGCCCTTCCAGCTCACCTGTGTCCAGGTCGCCCTTCTTCCGAATTCGGCCGACAAAGAGCGCCCTATCAGCCTCCTCCCCTGTCTGTGGAGGCTGTGGGCTCGCGCCAGGTGGAAGGATGTCGCGGCTTGGACGTCGGCATACTCCCCCGACCACCCGTGGGATCGGGCTGTTCCGGGCCAGGCCAGCCTCGACACAGCGTTGGCCCGCCTCGTTAGGTCGGAGCACTCCAAGCTCGAGAAGACTCACATCGTGAGTCTTTTTTTTGTCGACCTTCGCGGCTTCTTTGATTCGGTGAGCGATGAGCGCCTTCTCCTCCAAGGCCTCGCTCACCGTTTCCCTCCGCTTCACCTCTGGTTCGCCCTCCAAGTCTACCAGGGCCCTCGCTGCCTCGTCGCCGACTCGATAGCGGCCACCCCGCTTTTCCCTGGCCGAGGTGTCCCACAGGGGTGCCCTCTCGCACCGTCGCTTTCCAAACTCACCATGTCTGAGCCGCTTAAGAAGGTTTCCGCCCTTCCCTCCGTCACCAACACCGACTTGTGGTTGGACGACGTGAGTTTAGATGTGGTCGGGCCTGACCCTGTTGAGGTCGCCTCTGCCGCTCTCCAGGCCTACCGAGTTCTCCATGCCTCCCTCGGCCTTGAGGGCCTCGAGGTTGAGACAACAAAGACCAAGTTCGTCGCCGGTACGGTCCGCGCCCGTGCCGCGCTTCAGCAGCTGCGGCGCCCGGGCGAGCCTGAAACCGCCGATCTTGTCAAGGACCTCGGGCTTGACTGTGCTGCAGGCCGGCGACGGCGCATCACCACTGCCCAAAAGCGCTTCCGCACTGGCATTGGGCGCGTCCGCCACATGCGCCGCCTTCGCATTCGCCGCAGGTGGGTCCGGGGCCGGCTGCTTCAAGCCTCCGCCCTTAAGGCTGGCCTTTATGGCCGCCAGGCCGTTGGGGTTGCCCCTAAGCGCCTCAAGGGCCGGTTCGAGCATGGCTCTGCTGACGTCATCCTTGACCTCATGTCCCACAAGGCCGTTGACCCGCACCAGCTTGTGGTTGTGGAACAGCTTCAGGCTTTGGGGCGTCTCGCCTCCAGCGCCTCTTCCGAAGGCGTGCGGTTGCTCAACCGCACCTGGGCCTCTTCCTGGTCCAGACAGGCCTCCGCTACACATGGGTGGAAAATCGTGAATGGCCCCGTGTCTGCGCTCATCCAGTACTTGCTGGACTTGCGGGTGTCTGCTCCCACCCCCGAGGTCTGGACACACCGCGAGGCTACCTTTCACTTCCGCTTCTGCGAGCCAGGAGCGGTTTTTGAGGCCTCTGCTTTCCTCAGGCAGGTCATCCAGCTCGAGCGCTGGTCTCGTATCGGGCCTCCTGGCTTTGTTTCGTCCTCCCCGGGCCCTGGTGCCCCGACCCCTGTCCCTCCTCCCCTCGGCGCCGTCGGGCCAAAAATGCCTGTGGCACAACTTCTTCCGTGCGAGGGGTACTGGCAGACCTCTTTCTTTGAGGCGCCATCCGCCTTCTCGTCGGCTTTTACCTTCACTCTTGACGGCCCAGGTCAGGGAGCTCTTCTTCACCCTCAGGTGTTCGTTCCTCCCTGGCCGGTTCTACCCGCTCCTCCCCCGAGTGGGTCGAGGTTTCACGCTCTTCTCGGCGGCAGCCCCGGACTCTTACACTTGAGTCTTTGGTGGCGCCTCCCTCTCTTCTTACAGGGCCGGCCTATTTTCCACCGGCTTTCGTCTCGGACCCCAGCCCTGACTCGGCCTGGTGCCTCAACTCGGTTCAGCCCTCCGGCCCATCGAGCCGTCGAGGTGTCAGGCGCGACAGGCGATCCAAACACCGTCGCCACCGGCTCCAAACGCCGGGCCTTTTCACCCAGCTCCAGGTCGAGATGTGCGACCAGGCCCTGAATCCTGCCTCTCAGGTTGAGTTCGACCTTGTTGAGTTCGCTTCGAAGGTCGAGGATGCTATCTCGCCGGGTTCCTCGGAGGAGTGGTTTTTAGAGCGTGCCCTTGATGCCATCCATGATGACACACCCTCCCCCGCTAAGTGGCACCTCCTCAAGCAGATGGCTCATGTTCTCTCCCTGCAGCATACTACCCCCCACAGCCCTGCCTCCCTCAGGCTCCTGTCTGCCAATGTTACTCACTGGAGGCCGGAGGTTCGGGACTGGGCCTTCTCTCTCGAAGCCCATGGGGTTTTGCTTCAGGAGCTCCACCTCACCACGGAGGCTGCTCATGAGGCTGCGATCGCCGCCTCTAGAAGAGGGCTCCGCCTCTTCACTTCGCCGCCCTTCCTCAGTGAAAAGAGGCGACCCTTGGGAGGCTTCGGTGTTCTCATCCGTTCCTTCCTCAACCCCCGCCATGTCCTCACCCACACCGTTGAGGGCTGTGGTTTCCTGGCAGTTTCGCTTCGGTGTTCGGGTTTTGAGCTCACTTTGGTTTCCATCTACCTTCAGTCCGGGACTGGCTTTAACTCTCCGGTCAATGCCGATGTCCTGGCTCGCCTTTTAGCCTTTCTCCCTTCCCTCCGGGGAGTGTGGATTGTTGCGGGTGACTGGAACAACCCCATACAAGATCTCCTCGCCACACGGCTTGAGGAAGTTACCCATGGGCGGTTCCTGGGCTCCGGTGCACCCACCGCTGCAACAGACCGGGAAATTGATTACTTGTTTGTCTCGTCTCCGGCTGTTGCTTCTCTGACATTGGCTCAGGATTGGGTCGTCCCTTTCAAGCCTCACTGTGCCCTGCGGGCAACTCTTCAGCTCAGTTCTCTGCAGCTTCCCTACCCGCAGCTCGCTACCTTTTGTGAGGTCTTCCCTGACCCTCTTCCTTTTCAGCCTTCGGTCCCGAGCCCCTCGCCTGTCGCTGAGGTTAACCTCCTTGGCCTCACTTCCACTGACAAGCTCACCCTCGACTTCGCCGAGCTGAGCTCCTTCCTTGAGGTTTCTCACGGGTTCCCCGATCGTGGGCGTGGGGCTTTCGTCCCCATCCTTCACAAGCCTCTCGTCCAGGGCCACTCTGTCACTTTTGCCTGGAAGGGCCAGCTCCCCTCCTTGGTGTCGGCCGTGCTCCACTTGCTCGACCGGCCCGAAGTCTTGCAGCCCTTCCTGTGGTCCGCCTCGGACACTTCCCTCCCCTCGGAGGTTCGGGCCTTTTGTGACCGGGTGCGAGATGGCTCAACTTCTTCTGCCAACCTCCGTGCCGAGGGCACTGCTCTCCTTGGCCAACTTCGGCGTGAACAAACTGCCCAGCAGGCTGACCAGTATGGTGAGTGGCTGGAGGAAGCTTCGGGCTCACACCTTGGGCCGCTCTTTCGAGCCATCAAGTCTCACGAGCAGGTGCTTGACCGGCCCTTTCAGGACTGCGATGGGCTCCGCCGTGTCTTTGAGAGGCATGGGCATTGGGCACGTGTGTGGCACGCCTCGGTCTTTCCTCAGCCCTTTTCCCATCCTCTCCTCGCGGAGCTCCGCTCGAGGGCCGTCCTCTCATGCTGGCACCCTGGCTCCACTGACTGTCCCCAACCTTCAAAAGCTTCTCAAGAAAGCGGGGAAAAAGAAAGGTGGCCCAGACGGCTGGAGTTACCCAGCTCTTCGAGCTGCGGCTCTACAGCTCGTCGCCGACTTCCTCGCCCGCGCGGAGGCTGAGGTACTCCTGCCCTTCCAGCTCACCTGTGTTCAGGTCGCTCTTCTTCCGAAATCAGCCGACAAGGAGCGCCCTATCAGCCTCCTCCCCTGTCTGTGGAGGCTGTGGGCTCGCGCCAGGTGGAAGGATGTCGCGGCTTGGACGTCGGCATACTCCCCCGACCACAGGTTGTAAACCGGGCTGTTCCGGGCCAGGCCAGCCTCGACACAGCGTTGGCCCGCCTCGTCAGGTCGGAGCACTCCAGTCTCTTCCTCGACCTTCGCGGGTTCTTTGATTCGGTGAGCTATGAGCGCCTTCTCTTCTCCTTCAAGGCCTCGCTCACCGTTTCCCTCCGCTCCACCTCTGGTTCGCCCTTCAAGTTTACCAGGGCCCTCGCTGCCTCGTCGCCGACTCGATCGCGGCCACCCCGCTCTTCCCGTGCCCTCTCGCACCCTCGCTTTCCAAACTCACCATGTCTGAGCCGCTTAAGAAGGTTTCCGCCCTCCCCTCCGTCACCAACACCGACTTGTGGTTGGACGATGTGAGTTTAGATGTGGTCGGTCCTGACCCTGTTGAGGTCGCTTCTGCAGCTCTCCAGGCATACCGAGTTCTCCATGCCTCCCTCGGCCTTGAGGGCCTCGAGGTTGAGACAACAAAGACCAAGTTCGTCGCCGGTACGGTCCGCGCCCGCGCCGCGCTTCAGCAGCTGCGGCGCCCGGGCGAGCCCGAAACCGCCGACCTCGTCAAGGACCTCGGGCTGGACTGTGCTGCAGGCCGGCGACGGCGCATCACCACTGCCCAAAAGCGCTTCCGCACTGGCATTGGGCGCGTCCGCCACATGCGCCGCCTTCGCATCCGCCGCAGGTGGGTTCGGGGCCGGCTGCTTCAAGCCTCCGCCCTCAAGGCCGGCCTTTATGGCCACCACGCCGTTGGGGTTGCCCCTAAGCGCCTCAAGGTTCTACGCTCGGCGGTTGCGCGTGAAGCTGGCCGTTTCGAGCATGGCTCTGCTGACGTCATCCTCGACCTCATGTCCCACAAGGCCGTTGACCCACACCAGCTTGTGGTCGTTGAACAGCTTCAGGCTCTTGGGCGTCTCGCCTCCAGCGCCTCTTCCGAAGGCGTGCGGTTGCTCAACCGCACCTGGGCCTCTTCCTGGTCCAGACAGGCCTCCGCCACACATGGGTGGAAAATCGTGAATGGCCCCGTGTCTGCGCTCATCCAGTACTTGCTGGACTTGCGGGTGTCTGCTCCCACCCCTGATGTCTGGACACACCGCGAGGCTACCTTTCACTTCCGCTTCCGCGAGCCAGGAGCGGTTTTTGAGGCCTCCGCTTTCCTCAGACAGGTCATCCCACCTTCTTTACGAGTGTGAGAGGGTCCCGGGCGCCCTCATGCCCGCAGGCTGGCTGCTGTCTTACAAGCGGCGTCACCCTGCCGAGTGCCTCTGGTTGCGTGGGATGCGGCCCCTTAACACCCGCGAACCTCTCGCCCACGAGGCTGAGGTTCGCCGTACCGGTCTCTTCCTCGAAGGCACCCCGGACTTAACCGGGCTTTTCGTTGCCACTGACGCGTCGGGAGGCCCCGCCACCAAGGACAGCCGCCTCCGCTCGGTGGGCTGGGCCGTTATAGTCACAATGGCGACCTTGCGGTTCTTGGCACCCTGTCGGGGCTTTTGCCGGCCCCCGCCTCCGTACCGGAAGGCGAAAGTGAGGCCATCGCCCAGGCCCTTCTCTCCTCCCGGGGCACTTTCGACCTCACTTGCGACTGCCAGCCCGCTCTCCGAAGCCTGCAAGGCCCTTTTACCAAGCGCACCTCGCTTGTGTGGTCTAAGGCGTGGGACCACAGGCACAGAGCCGACCCACACTGGGTCCGCTCTCACCTCATGTTCTTCCGTTGGCTTCGGCTCAAGGAGGGCGACCATGGCGCCCAAGGGACGCCACTTCCGTGAGCAGCAGGAGCGCTGGGACCAGACAGGGATATGGCACAGCACAAGTTCCCTGTCCAGACGCAAGCTGCGTCCGGATAAGGCCGCTCGCCAAAGCCAAAGCGCGTCAGGAGCAGGACCGCGAGAGGGTCCAGGCGAAGCCGCCTCCGACCCCTCCGCCTGCTCCTCGCCGAAGGGCTGAGGTTGACGACGACGACCCAGCCTCTTGGGCGAGACGCGTGACGACGCAACGACGGCTAGCAAGTCGTCTGGCTCTGCCGGCCCCTCGCCCCCGGTGGCTGAGGTTGCAATGGAGGAGGGACTCGTCCTCCCAGCCCAACTTACTGCACACTTCATCACAGCACAGGCTACAACGGCATGTTGCTTGAGCTGGACGCATACACGTCAAGGCCCAGGCATGGGCGGCAATTGGCACTGCACCTTCGAAGAAAAATCAATGGAGAGAGAAGGAGAGTGAGAGAGCTTGTGCTCAAATCCACACTTCAAATCCTGGATGCTGGAATGATGATTGGCAACATGCAGCTCAGACGTTTGGAGAAAAACACTCGACACATGTCAACCCTTCATGCAAACAGTCTGTCAGCAGTTGTGCAGAAGCTCAACAACCGCTTCTCGTTTTCTGCTTGGCTCCGCCTCTGCTTCCGACAAATCCATAAGCATGGCTGCCGGAAACTAAGCGAGTCGTCAAACATGCTTTCCGTGCGGGCGCAAACATGCGAAAACACTTCACATGATAAAATAAAATAAAGGATTTTGATGCTTAATATTGTATTTTGGTGGAGTCTGCCGCGGCCTTGTTTTGCCCAGGCGCGTTGGCCCGGTTAGCACAAGGAACCGCCTCCGGAAAAGGGACTCTTTAAATTGACGCAGAAACCGGTTCGTAACAGTTTCCAGAAAACACGGGCGTTTTAGTAGATGCAGCATCTCCGCTGCCTTGGCTTTCCGAGCTGCGATAGTCTCGTTCTGCACGCACTGGGCATGGAACTTCATGTTATCCAAGTGGGCACGAACATGCTTCTTGCACCGCACATACTCCTTCTCTGCTGTCTGCTCCGTGATTTTTGCAGGCCTGCTACAGATTGGTGATCCACTCGGGCGGAGCTAGAAACAAACATAGCACGCTGCCGTGGTGGACATGTGGATGCCTCCCAGCTTGGGACCTGCAAATAATGATATCCTTGATCAGAAGCCTTCCGGGAGGCCTTCCCTCGGGCTTGCTTGCATTCCACGGATTGATGTGGCACAGCTCACGAGACCAGGCTTGGCTTCGAATCGTCACTGTCTGTCTTGCTTCTTACATCCAAGACAACACTGAGATTCCAAAACACTGCAAAAGCAACAGACAACGCTTGCGTCGAACGTTCTCACACCAGCTTAGCTTCTGCAATCGAACACGGGGTCAAAGTGGATGCTCGGCACTGTGGATTGGAGACTCCGTGCCGTGTGTCGCTCATTTGCAACAGTCACGCGGTCTAGTTTGCCTTTTTGCTCAACGAAGCGGCGGAAAGCATCGGAAAGCGCTGCATTTACCTTCTGCAAGCACTGGCAGCTTCATCTGCTGGAAAGCCAAGGCCGAGGTGAATGAGAAAAGGACATTGGCTGCAGGTGGCCCAGTACCAAGCATTCTAAACTTTTAACAGTGTTGCGCTGCAGCTTCTGTGTTGCACCATTGCAGTTGAGTCCCAGTTGCTTCAGTTCGAAACATATTTTTTCGTGCAAAGAATTAGAGACCACCAGAAATGACATTCAGGAACAAAGGTGTGAACAGTTATCCTCATGGGGAGGATACGGTGGGCGTCCAGCTCAACTCTTTAAAGCAGAACAGCTTTCAGCTGGTTCCTTGGCACTTGGAGTGTTGGAAACACTTTTCTCTCTATAGGGCTGTTAGTTCTTCTGTGAGTTTGCCAGTACACGGGACGTTTTTTAGAGGAGTTTTAGTACCTGAGTGCTGTGAAGGGCTTGGGGAAGTGCTCAGTGCTCCAACCACCTGTAGGTAGTTTACGCCTTTGCTTTGGTGCAAGACTTTGGTGCCTACTTGGCTCAAGACCGGAACTGCATGGAGAGTGAAGCAAAACGAAGTCTGTCCGAGTGTTGTGGGTTTTGCTTGGACTTGTTGTGGTCTCGTTCTTTTTCGTGGTAGCGGAGCGTGTTTGATCCGAGAGGGACGCACGCCAATCCGCTTTGAGAGAAAAGAGCCCAATACGCAAGTTTTACGAAGGTTTTTCGCTGCGTCGGTGAAGCATGGAGGGACGAAGGAGACCATCATTTATGACATGGCCAGGGATGACACGCCTGGTGTTGTGAGGCGATCGAGTCGTGGTACCGACATGCCATACCCAGAGGCGAGCGAGGGCTTCTTCGGTTCCAAGAGCTGGAGCAGGGTTGGGTGCTGCTTTTAGCCCCATCTCTAACTTGTCCGCGATAGGGTCGCCGCCTGTTCATTCCACAGGGTCCCCAGGAGGGTCTCTTGCAGGGACTCCAGTGCCCACAGGGCCACAGTTTCCTGCCCCAGGACTAGGGTCGCAAGTGCCAGTTGCACCCAGTGCACCTGCCAATCCTCTTGAGTCGTTGTTGATGCACACGGTGCAGGAGCAACAGAAGCAGATCAGCCAGATGGTCTCGCTTGTTGAGAGTTTGGTGTCTAGGGAGGGTGCTAGGGAGTCCAAGGGAAAGGGGACAGGTAGCTTGTCGGATCTGTCTGGTTCTTCCATGGAGGTCGACGAAGGCGCACCTATTCGGAATCCAAAGGCTGAAGCCTACATCCCGTCCAGGATGTCTAAGGGTCGAAAGGCCGAGATCGAGACCTGGGTTGAGTGCATGGAGGTGCTCCTTCCGTGGCTAGCTTTGTTTGACGATAGAATCCCAGGCGAGATACAAGCCTTCATGACCAAGACAGAGACTGTTCAGAACTCAGGGCTGTCGAGGGGTGAGAGCGTGAGAAGTAC